TTCAAGTGTTAGCACCTCTGAGTAAGATTTTATTAGAAAATAGAAGTAGAAGCAATTTTCAGATTTGAATCCTGAGATGTAATTACAAGGACTGTGCCAGAGTAGTGTGTTTAAACTTAACGCTTTCTATCGGGGAGCCACATTTATAATAAACAGCAAAAAGAATTATCATCGACAACTGAATAGGCCTTTTCACATCCCCCAGATTTGCTGAGAATTATTTTTGGGAATACTTAACTCAGAGCTTTTCTTTCAGGGTCTTGGCACTTTCCCTTTTTGGATATGAGTTATACAAGACTAACCTCTATTATTTCTGGATTACATGTCAGTGATGGAAAATGAATTGAGTGCTTTGAGGGGGAAAGAAATCATTACCAGAAAAATGAATAGACCGATTGTACTGGATTACTAAAAGTCGGGGCTCTGGAAAGATCTTTGGTTTGATTTTCCGGGAAACGTATCTTCTTGGATACTCTTCAGAGTTGTGATAAATTCCTCCAGCAGCAGGTGGGAGGTAGGCCTATTTATACCACACTTTCTCCTGGTCCTGGGCTTCCTAGGCTGACTTCAAAGAGAGGCCTTTTCTTTGCTGTGTGGTATTTAAAGAAAAAAACTGCTTTGAACTCTCAGATATTGGGCATTTTGGGAACAGTCAACAGCCAGCCAGATTTACATGTTTATCACTTTTGCCAGAGGATGCAGAAAATTTTTTCCCTCACTCAGTGAACAATGGTATTTATCTGTTCCATAGGTATGTACTATGTGCCAGATAGTACTATGTACTGATGATACAACAATGATCAAGTCTGATACAGTTCTTACCTAACAGAGCTCTCAGTTATGGATCAGGGAGGTGGATCTAGACATGTAAACAGCTTACAATTCAGGGTGAGAAATGCCATGATAAGGACATACCAGATGCTGTGGGAATCATGCAGATAACAGAAAACCAAACACCACATGTTCTCATTCATAAGTGGGAGTTGAACAATGAGAACACATGGACACAGGGAGAGAAACATCACACACCAGGGCCTGTTGGTGGGTGGGGGGCTGGAGAAGGGAGAGCATTAGGAGAAATACCTAATGTAGATGACGGGTTGATGGGTGCAGCAAACCACCATGGCATGTGTATACCTGTGTAACAAACCTGTACATTGTGCACATGTAGCCCAGAACTTAAAGTATAATAAAAGGAAAAGAAAACAAAAGAAAAGGAGATCAGAGAAGACTTTCTTAAAGAAGTGACTTGTAATTGTGATCTGAGGGATCGTAAGTCATAACCAGAGGAAGAGAGGGTGAGCAAAGGCCCTGAGAGTGGGGACAGCGCGGCATATTTGAAGGACTGAAGGTAGAAAGTATGTGTGTAGGTGAGGGGAAAAGACACTGTTTTTAGGGAATTGTTGAATAGGAAAGGAATATGGTGTGAAGTTAAAGTGTAAGCAAGTACAAGGTCCTGCAATGTCTGGAAAAACCTGTTAGGACTCGCAGCCTCTATCCTCAGGGAAAGTCACTGAATTACTTTTAGCAGACAGGATGCATAATTGCACGTACGTTTCTGGAAACCACTTTGATTGTTCTGTTGCCAATGGATTAGAAGCGACAAAGTCTGGAGATAGGAGTTGGAAAGACCAATGGGGGGGCTATGGAGGCATCCAGGTGAGAGACGGTGGTAGCCTTGAGATTATACATTGGCGGTGAAAGGCACAGACTGGGTAGATTTGAGAAAAGTTTAAAGGTAGAATTGACAAGACTTGGTGACAGGCATGATATGGATGGTGTAGGAAAAGGAGGAATCTAGCATAATACTGAAAAGGCTCAAGGTTCTGGGTTGGCAGTGAGATCATTTAATAAGACAGGAAACCCAGGAGAAAGAGCAGACTGGGAGGTTAAGATCATGAATTCAATTTGGGGCATGTTGATTTGAGGTATTTATCAGATGCTGTTGATGACCCACTCATATCCCCTTGACCAACCATTGAAGCGAGTGGCAAAATTGCCCAGTGGCTGAAACAACGGACTATGGATGCAGTCAATGCATGTTATAAATCATAGTTCTTTCAATTAACTAGCTGTGGGTCATGGTACAACTTCTCTTATCTGTTTCCTCCTCTATAAATTGGAGACAGTCACTACCTCATGGGGTTGCTATACATACTAAATACCTGTATGTATAATATAATTTCCCGTGTAAACTCCATCATCAAGCAACATCTGAACTCTACATAGCAGAAGGCTCTTCTCTCCTTGTCCACTAAGCAGTTGCTATTTGTGTTTGCAGTTATAGCACAGGTATTCTCATATCAGTATCATCTTTATTGACAAAAGCCCTCAGCAGCAGTGTATTAGTTTCCTATTGCTGCTACAACAAATGAGCACAAACTTAGTGACATAAACCAACACAAATTTATTACCCTGTAGTTCTGGAGGTCAGAAGTTTGAATTGGGTCTCGTGGCACTAAAATCAAGGTGTTGGCAGGACTACATTCCTTCTGGTGGAGGCTCTGGGGGAGAATCTGGTTTTTTGCCTTTTTCTTTTCCAATTTCTGCATTTCTTAGCTTGTGGCTCCTTTCCTCCATCTTCAAAGACAGAAGGTAGCATCTTCAAATCTCTTTTTGCCTTACTTTTTGGGCTCCCTCTTCTACTAAAAGGATCCTTGTGATTACACTGGGCCCATGCAGATAATCCAGGATAATCTCCTTATCTTAAAGTCAGCTCGTTAGGAACCTTAACTCCACGTGCAACCTTAATTCCTCCTTGCTATGTGTGTTAGTCCACTTGTATTGCTATAAAGGAATACCTGAGACTGGTTAATTTATAAAGGAAAGAGGTTCATTTGGGCTCTGCAGGTTATACAGGAAGTATGATGTAGGCACTGGTTTCTGGTGAGGGCCTCAGGAACCTTCCAATCATGGCAGAAGATAAAGGGGAGCAGGAGTGTCACATGGCAAGACAGAGAGGGAGCAAGAGAGGAAGGGGAGGTGCCAGGCTCTTTTAAACAACCAGCTCTCACAGAAACTACCAGAATGAGAGCTCACTTATTACCATGGGGTGGGTACCAAGCCATTCATAAAGAATCAGCCCCCATAATTCAAACACCTTCCACCAGATCCCATCTCCAACACTGGGGATCACATTTCAATATGAGATTTGGAGAGAGACAGGCATCCAAACTACATCACTATGCAACATAACATATTCATAGGCTCTGGGGACTTAGGGATTCTTTTTTATTCATAGCTCCATTTTTCATACTGTCTTATCATTGCGTTGTGTCACCCTCTGCTAGGACTAACATTTCCAAATCTTGTGATATTCTTGCACATAATACATGTTGTGCAATAAAAATATATCTGGCCTGAAAGCAGTAGTGATCATTTTTATTTTATTATTCATAATTTATATGAGAAACACAAAACTCAAACTTTCAAGTGATATAGTAAATAGGTGGTACAAAATAAATATCCACAGGACTTTTTCCCCAGTCTTCCTAACAATGACAAGATAGCAGCTGGAAGATTATGAGAAAGCAATAAATATTAAACACCAATGGAAACAGTGGCTGTCTAAAGGCACCCAGAGCACACAGTCAATCTTTACTAATGATTCCTCTCCAGACCTGAAGTTCTCTATTGGCACTACCCCTATAAAGCTTTAATGAGCTCTATTCCACTCTGATCTGGGAAGGAAGGGAGAAGTAAGAAAGGGAAGCAGAAATGTAGTGTCATAAATATGAACAAAGACCCCAGAGTATGAGAAGAACAACCTCAACCACCCACCCAACCATCCTCTAGTACAAGAGGCCAATTCATACAGGGGCCACAGCCCAGGCTGCCAGGCTGACCTGTGCCAAAAGAGACGTTACCTGAAGGCCGCTGAGTGGTCCCAGCTGGCCGCAGCCTGAAACACTTCTTAATCTATCTGTCTCCAAGTAGAAAAGTCAAATAAAGTCACTAATACCTCTGCAATAAATAGTTTACAAGATTGATCGGCAGATTAGCAAAGGATCCAAGAGAATGGGACCTCAGCCTAGCAAAGAAGCAGGCAAAGTTCCCCAAAGGTCTGTTGCAGGTCACCCTGGGCAGAGTAAAGGAACTGAGCACCAAAAGCATTTAAACAACTTCCTGGAACCCCCCACATCCTCATTTTCAGATACATAAAATTGGCATTAATGACCTATCATACGAAAATAGCTTCTACTTTCTGAATACGAATTAAACATCAGACCTGGTACACTAGGTACATTATACTTACTATCACTAGTTCACTGGGTTCCTTTCAGCACCTACAATTAACAGAGAGGGCCAATTGCCGTGGCTCACGCCTATAATCCCAGCACTTTGGGAGGGCGAGGCAGGCAGATCACCTGAGGTCAGGAGTTCAAGACCAGCCTGACTAACATGGTGAAACCCTATCTCTACTAAAAATACAAAAATTAGTCGGGCATGGTGGTGGGCTCCTGTAGTCCCAGCTACTTGGGAGGCAGAGACATGAGAACTGCTTGAACCTGGGGGTGCTGAGGTTGCAGTGAGCTGAGATGGTGCCACTGCATTGCAGCCTGGGCGAAAAAGTAAGACTCCATCTCAACAACAACAACAACAACAACAACAACCACCAGAGAGGGATCTGATGCCAGAGAAGTTCAGTTACTTACCTAAGGGCACACAGTTGATACATTTCACGGCTGGGATTCAAATTCAAGATGTCTGACTCCAGAGCCCTACCTTTCAATCAGGAAGTACCTTATATAGTCTTTTCCACAGGATGGTTTCTTCCTCAGTGGGAGAATGATTTAAATCATCAGTTCATCATGTCGTACGACAAGTGGCTTTTTCTAGGTTTATTTGGGACAAATGCATAAACTAAAAGCTATGCAAGAATATCAGCAAGGGAAATAAATGAATGAGAGCTAGGTATATTGCTCCATTCTGCATCTCCAGAAAGGGTTAACTTTTGGCAGTTTAGCTGAGATGTAGGAGAACAGATGTGTAATACTTTGTATCAGCAAATATTTAGTGATGCCAGAAACAAAGATGGCTTCTGGTATTTCACACCTAGCCTTCAGGAAGGCCTGTTAAACTTGATTTTCCTCTCTGCCTTGGAGAGACACGAAGTTGCTAAGTTACCATGGGGAAGGCAACTTCCGCTGTAATTGCTTTCCCAGTTTTCATACTGCCCTAGAATTTTTAGTTTTCCACTTTTGCTGAATCATTTTCACACCAGCACCTAGGACAATGACAATGAACTGTAAAAGCATGTCACTGGGTACGTCATGACCATCCACCAAAGTCTAATTAGCTGGTGCTTTCACATGGGAGAGTACTTACTGTCCATAGCCACTGTGTTCTTGTAAAAATAGGCTAGAATTACTCTCTCGCTCTTTCTGAAAGAAGTAGGGAGAGGATTAGGGTTATTGTGTTGAAAGAGAACAAGACAATAACGGCCACCAAATCAAATCACAAGCAAAACCTTGTTGATACAACTCTATTTTGTTTTTTTTGTTTGTTTTTTAAATTTTTTATTTTAAATATTATTATATAGTGATTTTGAGTTTTTGAATTTTATTTATTTATTTTGAGACAGGATCTCGCTCTGTCACCCAGGCTGGAGTGCAGTGGCACGATCTCGGCTCACTGCAACCTCCGCTTCCCAGCTTTAAGCGTTTCTCCTGCCTCAGCCTCCCCAGTACCTGGGAGTACAGGCACATGCCACCACGCCCGGCTAATTTGATGGCTGATGAATGTATCATCATCCTTAACCTCTTAAAAGTTAATTTTTTTTTTAAATTGAGGTATAATTTATATACCATAAAATTAACCACTTTACCTTGGTTTTGAAAAAGAAGAAATCGATCACGTGATAATCCTCACCCTATAAAAAGATAACCTTTAAGCTGGAAACAGATTTCTGAACATGCCATGTTTGTCTAACTTTCTCTGGCTTCCTGCCCCTTGTTCTTCTGCCTTTGCAGAAAAAAAATCAAATTATTTCTATATTTGGAGAATTGTTCAGTACAAGTTCCTTCTCCATCTGCTTGCACTCATGTTATTAACAAATGTTCACTCTTTTCTATTGATTTCATATTGGCTCTCTAACATTCTACACAGCGTTTTTATTAATTAATTTTTTAAAGATAGGAATACTTGTATTTTGCACAAAACACAAAGTGGAATACTGAGGTAAGTCTCCCTTACCCTGTCTCTCCCAGCAACTCAGTTCCTTTCCGAGACCAAAATTTTCTCAACTTTCTTAGGCATCATTAGAGAGCTATTCTATTCATTTACAAATATATACATATACCAATGTATACAAATATATGTATATAAATATATATAGAAGTATACAAATATATGTATATAAACATATATAGAAGTATACAAATATATGTGTATATGTGCATATAAAATATAAATAGGTACATAAAATCAATGCATATACATACATACACCTATACATTTTCCCACACACAAATGAGGGTATATTCTACCAAATGTTCTATGCTTTACTTTTTTCTGTTAATAATAACCTTATTCTTGGGAATCTTTCCAGAAAAGTACATTTATAGGAGTCTATTGTGTCCATTTTACTATATTTTAGAAGTATATAATAATTTACTGAAAACCATCAAATTACTGGCTGGGTGCAGTGGCTCACGCCTGTAATCCTAGCACTTTGGGAGGCCAAGGAGGGCAGATCGCGAGGTCAGCAGTTCGAGACCATCCTAGCCAACATGGTGAAACTCCGTCTCTACTAAAAATACAAAGATTAGCCAGGCATGGTGGCAGGTGCCTGTAATCCAAGCTACTCCGGAGGCTGAGGCGGGAGAATCACTTGAATCTGGGAGGCAGAGGTTGCAGTGAGCTGAGATCACACTACTGCACTCCAGCCTGGTGACAGAGGGAGAGTCCATCTCAAAAAAACAAAAACAAACAAAAAAAACCCTATCCCATTACTGTCATGTACATTGTTTCCAAACTGCCCTTACAATGTCTTACAAAGTTCCAGAACAGTTGCAGGCTGGTGTGTAACTTCCGACCTCAAGTCATCTGCCCACCTCGGCCTCCTAAAGTGCTGAAATTACAGGTGTGTGTCACCGTGCCCAGCCTGCTGCCCTTACAATGAATACACAATTTTATTTAAACCATTTCACACATATGAAACCAACTCTGTAAGCCAATTACTTATAAGTGGAATTTTTGATCAAAAAGTATGTACTTTTCTGCTTTTGAAGGGTATTGCCAAACTATCCTTCAGGGAAATTGCATCAATGTGCACTCTGTTAGCAGTGGAGCGCGGTGTTTCTACATAGTCTACTACGTGTACTTAGTAACTATTGTAACATAATTTCAGACTAACTAATAATAAATATTCAATGATTAATATCAGGAAATTAGCATTAATGGTTTTTCAATCTTTATTTTCATGACATTAACATTTTTGAAGAGTGCTGGCCAGTTACTTCAAAGAATAGCCTTCAATTTGGGCCTGTTTTTTTCTTTAAAACAAAGAACCAGAGGGGGTGGGGTAGCATAAAAAAACAAAACAAACAAAGAAACAACAAAGAACCAAGTGCTGGTGGGGGGCGGTGGCTCATGCCTGTAATCCCAGCACTTTGGGAGGCCGAGGAGGGTGGATCAACTGAGGTCAGGAGTTTGAGGCCAGCCTGTCCAACATAGTGAAACCCCATCTCTACCAAAAATACAAAAATTAGCTGGGCATGGTGGCCTGTGCCTGTAGTCCCAGCTACTTGGGAGGTTGGGGAAGGAGAATCACTTGAACCCAGGAGGTAAAGGTTGCAGTGAGATGAGATCATGCCACTGCACTCCTGCCTGGGCGACAGAGCGAGACTCTGTCTCAAAAAAAAACTAAATAAAAAGAACCAGCTGCAAAAACTCAAAGCAGAAAAACAAAGAACATTTGCAAGGCATAAAAAAGAAAAAGCAAAGGCGGGGCGTGGTGGCTCACGCCTGTAATCCCAGCACTTTGGGAGGCCGAGGCAGGCAGATCAGGAGGTCAGGAGATCCAAACACGGTGAAACCCCTTCTCTACTAAAACTACAAAAATTAGCCGGATGTGGTGGCACGTGCCTGTAGTCCCAGCTACTAGGGAGGCTGAGGCAGGAGAATCGCTTGAATCCGGGAGGCGGAGGTTGCAGTGAGCAGTGAGATCACGCCACTGCACTCCAGCCTGGGGCAACAGAGCGAGACTCTGTCTTAAAAAAAAAAAAAAAAGAAAAAGAAAAAAGAAAAAGCAAAGGCCAGGTGTGGCGGCTCATACCTGTAATCCCAGCACTTTGGGAGGCCGAGGTGGGCGGATCACCTGAGGTCGGGAGGTCGAGACCAGCCTGACCAACATGGAAAAACCCTGTCTCTTACTAAAAATGCAAAATTGGTGGGGCGTGGTGTGACACGCCTATAATCCCAACTACTCTGGCTGAGGCAGGACAATCGCTTGAACCCGGGAGGCAGAGGTTGCGATGAGCTGAGATCAGGACATTGCACTCCAGCCTGGGCAACAAGAGTGAAACTCCATCTCAAAAAAAAAAAAAAAAAAGAAAGAAAAAACAAAGAAAAATAAATATTAGAAATAATAGTTTGTTTTTTAAAGACTATTTACTATTTTTCTTAACACTTATGCCAGATACTGAGTTAAGCATTTTGCACAGTGGTAGTAGCCAGCATTATTATGCAAGACAAAGTGCTAAGCACCTTGTACGCATTGTCTCATTTAATCCTCAAAAATTCTTTCAAGTTCTCCATATTATGGATAAGCAAACTGTGGTACAGAGAGGTGGAATTGTTTGCCTCAGGTCACAGAATTGGTTCTCTTCCTCTTCCTCTTCTCTTCCTTCCCTGTCCTTCCCTTCCTTTCTTTTCAAGTTACAAAAGTTATGCATGATTATTATAATAAATTAACATAACTCAGAAGGGGAGAAAGTAAACATGGAGTGCCCTAGCCCCTCTCCAGTGTCCCACACCAGAGGTGACCTCTTTTAACAATTGGCGGGCGCAGTGGCTCACACCTATAATCCCAACACTATGAAAGGCAGAGGTGGGTGGATTGCTTGAGCGCAGGCATTCCAGACCAGCCTGGGCAACATGGCAACGCCTGTCTCCATGCACACACACAAAAGCCCAGCACGGTGGATCATGCCTATAATCCCAGCACTTTGGGAGGCTGAGGCAGGCAGATAACTTGAGCCCAGGAGTTCGACAGCCTGGGCAACATGGAGAAACCCTATCTCTATTTAAAAAAAAAAAATTAGTTAGGTATGGTGGCACGCACCTGTAGTCCCAGCTACTTGGGAGACTGAGGTGGGGGTATCACTTTAGCCCAGGAGGTTGAGGCTGCAGTGAGCCAAGATCTTGCCACTGCACTCCAGCCTGGGTAACAGAGTGAGACCCTGTCTCAAAAAAAAAAAAAAAAAAAAAAATCATGAGAAACAGAAGCTTAGGGAGAGAGAGAGGCTGGGCATGTTGGCTCACGCCTGTAATCCCAGCACTTTGGGAGGTCGAGGTGGGCAGATTACCTAAGATCTTGAGTTCAAAACCAGCGTGGTTAACATGGTGAAACTCCATCTCTACTAAAAATACAATAATTACCTGGGCGTGATGGCACAAGCCTGTAATCACAGCTACTCGGGAGGCTGAGGCACAAGAATCACTTGAACCTTGGAGGCAGAGGTTGCAGTGAGCTGAGACCGTGCCACCGCACTCCAGCCTGGGCAACAGAGTGAAATCTGTCTCAAAAAAAAAAAAAAAAAAAAGAGAGAGAGAGAGAAAGAGAGAGTGAACGAGAACAAACAACTGTGCATGTTTATTTCCAGACCGTTTTCAACTAGAATCAAGAATCCGATCTGAATCCAAAGCCCTTCTTGATAATGAATATTCACTGTCACCCTCCATATGCAAATAGCAAAGTTATATTATTATATGTATACTATAAAACAAAATGACTCTTCAAACTTTTTTATCATTTTATCTTTTTTTTTTTTTTTTAGAGACAGGGTCTCACTATGTTGCCCAGCTTGGTCTCAAACTTCTGGGCTCAAACAATCCTCCCACCTCAGTCTCCCAAAATGCTGGAATTACAGGTGTGAGCCACCACACCTGGACTTGAGGTTTTGATATATGTATCAAAACATATTGATACATATATCAATATGTGATTGTAAAATGATCACCACAACAAAGTTAACTGACATATCCATCACCTCACATAGTTACCATTTTCGTGACTCACTGCAGCCTTGACTTCCTGCACTCAGGTGATCCTCCCACCTCAGTCTCCCCAGTAGCTGGGACCATAGGTGCCTGCCACCATGCCTGGCTAATTTTGTAATTTTTGTGAAGATAGGTTTTCGTCATGTTGCCCAGGCTGGTC